ATGCCGGAGACAGCTTCCCCTGCCTGGGGAGGTAGTCCGACGCAGGAAGCCCTCACCTAACTCTGTCGAAGCAGAAGCCATCCAGGACCAGGAACCCCTGACGAGGACCAGGACCACGACCATTTAATTTTAAGTATAGGTTTAAGAAAGTCTCTTCAAGACAACTTGTCCGTTTTATTTTACTTATTTTAAGTTGAAATATCTTTAGGTGACCACCATGTTAGTTTAGCTTTCAAGTTTATCTTTAAGTTCCTTATTGTTATAACATTATGCATAAAAATTAATTGTAATTATTGTAATAAACTGAGTTCCAAAACAAAACAAAAACTAACAGCTGATCAGTATATACGGAAAGTCCTTCAAGAAAATGTAGTGCTGTTTGTTCCAATTATTGGAAACAATTTTGTTCTTATGCAAAACAACGCTCGCCCGCACGTTGCCAGAATCACAATGCAATACCTTGAAGATGTTGGTATTCAAGTTTTAGATTGGCCAGCAGTTAGTCCAGATCTAAACCCAATGGAACATGTTTGGGATTTCTTAGAAAGGCGCATAAGAGCTCGTAATATTGCACCAGACAACCTTGATGAGCTAAAAAATGCTTTGAGAGAAGAATGGGAAAATTTAGATTTGGAGTATGTAACGGAGCCAGAGGTGGCAATACCAGATACTAAATTGCTAAAATCTTCCTTGGAATTTTTTATTTTATTAATTTGGATACTTTAATTTTTCTTGAATACTTGTTATTTACAAAAATTTTCCCTGTTATTCTTAGATTATTAATTTTAATTAAACAAACCACTGTTAAACATTCTGTTAAACATTCTTGAGTTTCATTACCTGATGCCATTTACAAAAAAAAATTAGGAGATAATAATAAAACTTCTAATCACAATCTATTTATGCGATACTTTTTGTGATGAGTGTAGTTCCTCATCACCGCTCCAGTGTTCAATGATGTTCAAAGCAGTTTGCGTTGGGTTGTCGATAATGGCTTCGTGCTAACCCTTGGTTATTATGATCAGGATCATCCGCGTAGCATAGGATCATTTAGTGCAGATCTGTTCAGCTTGGCTAGGATATTATCTACCACTAGATTCCACAGTAAGGGTGAGAGAACGTCCCCCTGTGGGACACCCTTTGACTCTGGATACGGTTATTGATATTGCTCCGTTTATTCCAAAGCTAACAGAGCTACAATAGGCCATTTAGAGACATAAAGCGAATACTTTTAATAGTTTCAATATTGTAACTAGGAAAGGACATGAAATAGGCAGAATTGTATCCATTAGAGATGGACTCTTCGATAAATTATTAATCAATATTACGATATAATACACAATTGACTTGTCAAAAATTAATTAATTTGTTGTTCTTAATTATTGTAATGCCTAATTAAATATTTGCTTGCTCTAAGCAGCTATACTAGCAAGTCTGCTCAAAAACGATGCAGAATGGTTTAAATATTAAATAGCAATGGTTGACTAACCCTGTTTTGATTGATTTAACCCGAAAAAGCGCATCTATGTATAAGTTAATATTTATTTTACATACAACAACCAGATTTGGAACTCCCTCTCCCCCCACCAATCTCTGCACAATTTTCCGGAGTGTTAACATATGCCACACGATTACCTACTTATATAGCAACCATTTAAAAATAGTCTCTTGCTTTTATCATCAAAAGTGCCACGGGATACAATAGACTATTCGTATAAAATCGATTTCAAATCACATTTACCTGTTTCACCCGACCAAATGAGGTTTTCATCAAAATGAAAGTCACATTCAAACCTGGATATTTTTTTTTTTGCAGGTCCATTAAGAGAATTGCAAGCCCTTTAAAACAAGGTATCACATGACCCATAGTGCCATTTAAGATTTTGAGGTTAGGGTAGGTACCTAGCTATAGCCGGAGGGGTGATTCAGGGAGACCTGAAAAGTACCTTGTTTTGGTTCCCCCCTCCAACTGTCCAAACGGGTTTTTCATTTTTTTTTTTATCGATTACCGTTTTCAAGATATAGGCCATTGACAGTTTTCGGTGGGAGACCCGGTATATCTGCTTCATTGCAGTTGATATTAGCTCGATACCTTCATTAATTCATTATAGATTCAAAACAGTGTTTGGGTGTGTCAACAAATTTTAACTTTTTTTCATTAAATACATAGTGGTAAATATAATATTTTGGAAATTATAGCCTAGGCTACCCTATAAAAGGTAAAATAATAATAAAGCACCAAAATGAAAATGAGGGATAAGGGTTGAACCGGGGCACCATTGTCGGAGAGTTATCAGTTAATAAATCCCTATATCATAAAGGAATTATTGATAGACAATACCTACTCTTATTTTTTGGAAATTTGCTCAAGTAGTACGAATAATTATATGTTTTTCAAGTGTTTTTATAATTAATGCAGAGCCTCATATTGGAATGGTAGTAAAATCCATATTTCTATATCAGTGATGGTACCTGCCATCGTCGCGCCTATGGTTTACGATTGTTTTATGGTCTAACCCCCGATTTGTCCTATCAACTGCAATGAAATAGACTTTAGTAAAATGAAATCATTCTCATTATAATATTATACATACCGGGTGTCCCACCGAAAACTGTCAATGGCCTATATCTTGAAAACGATAATCGATAAAAAAAAATGAAAAACCCGTTTGGAGGGTTGGAAGGGGGAACCAAAACAAGGTACTTTTCAGGTCTCCCTGAATCACCCCTCCAGCCGTAGCTACCCTAACCTCAAAATCTTTAGTGGCACTATGGGTCATGTGATACCTTGTTTTAAAGGTCTTTGAATTCTCTTAATCCAGATTTGAATGTGACTCTCATTTTGATGAAACCTCATTTGATCGGGTGGAACAGGTAAATGTGATTTGGAATCGATTTTATACAAATTGAATAACAGCATGAATATTTTTGAGGAAATCATCAAGATTTTATTTTTTGAACCCTTTTCCTCTCACTGTACCTGACAGTGTTCACCGCCTCAAGAGAGCAAATATGTTAACTCGAAGCATGCGCCATTTTGTGACAATTTAAATTTGTATCTACACCATTTCCAAATCCAAGCGGCAGTAAATGACAAATTGGTCATTTTTATTACAACCTATCAAATGTCCTCCGTGCATGCGCACTGGTCCAGGTAGGGCGTTTCAACCAATAGGAAGGCTGGTGTTTGTTTACAATTTAGGTTATTGAAATGTCATTTACTGCCCCTTGAATTTGGAAATGGTGTAGATATTTTTTTTTTGCAGATTCGTTTAGAGAATTTAAAAACCTCTCAAATAAGGTATCACATGACCCATAGTGCCATTTAAAATTTTGAGGTTAGGGTAGCTACGGCCGAAGGGGTGATTCAGGAAGACCTGAAAAGTACTTTGTTTTGGGTTCCCCCTTTCAACCCTCCAAACGGGTTTTTAATTTTTTTTTTATCGATCACCGTTTTCAAGATATAGGCCATTGACAGTTTTCGGTGGGACACCCGGAGTGCGTTCAAAGACGGCAATGCTAATGCCAAAACTTACTTTTCCCCTTCTACCGGCGATGTCAAATCTGGTGTGAATTTGCTGGAACGCCAAATACCGTTTCTCAATTAGGCAATCCAAACCACGTGACATTCAAGATGGCGTGGCGTCCACACATGGACGAAAAGACACAAAAAAATATCTAGTTTCTGCCCAACTCAATAGTTTACGTACCTATACAAATATTTTATTGAATAATCAAAATCAAAGCTGCAAGCAAAACAATTGAAATATGCATGAAAACACATATTCACAACTAACTTGCTGGCCGCCACGCCATATTGAATTTGGTCTCATCCAATCAAAATTCGTATAACCATTTGTAGACTCAGTCAAAAGCAACTCCAAAAGTTACTTTACCGCGGCCGATTCTGAACGTGTAAAGCCAACCGTTTTTGGCACGCTGGAGCCGAACTTGAACGCAATATGCCAATTTTTGAACGCAGCCCTGGTACCTATAACAATAATTAAAAAGCCAGTTTTGATTGTTGAAAGTTTCTCCACATTTGAAGCATTTTGCGCTTGACCATTTCTTCGCAATTCAAATAGAACCAAAAACAGAAATGTTTATATTTATTGAGGTAATTGACGTGTCTCGTAATACCTGGTGTGCGCGCGCAACTCGTGGGTTGCAGGTGAGCGTCCAATGAAAATCGAGTTTGTTACGGGCTTACGTCATATTCATATTCAGGGACGAGTTCAGAATTAATCGTTCCTTCTTTTTTTGTAACGAGTAATTCGACAAAGAGCAAACTAATATTTCACGTATTACTTGAACTTATCGCAGTGTCGTTTAAGGTTATGTTAGATTATACTTGATATATTCCTTTGCAATTTCATTGTGCGATGTTGCCGGCTGAAAAATTTATCAAAATAAAAGTGCCATTGATGTTAACATACACTTTAAAGCTCTTCTTTTGTCTGATTTAAGGCTTTGTAAGACACTTGACAATATATCACTTCTTTAATATTATAATTTTCGAATTGTATTGTCTACATTTGTTGTGCAACAATACAATCTGCCTACACTGCAGTCACGAGTTGCGCGCGCATGTCATTTTTTATTACTTTTTAACTTGTATTTATTACAATTAGGGTCTCTTTTTCTATTTCTGCGAGACAGGTCAATTGATCTTTGGGTATAGCTTAATAAGTGAAACTTTGTAAAGATGATAATAAATAAATAGATACTTAAAAAATTCTAGGTGCTACTTTATGGAATGCATTTAGGGGATCTAGCGTTTTGCAAAAAAACATTATTATTTCGAACAATTTTTCACATTATAATAGTTTATTCGTAAACATAAATCTTGCATACCAATTACAACTCATAAATAAATAATTAGCAAAAATTGGTATTCAATTAATTAATTTCCTACAAATTGTTAATAATATATTAAGTATTAAAGATAAGAGCAAATAAATAAAACGCTTGGTTAGGCCACCATAACGCCACCATTGGTTCGAAAAGTATAAAAAGCAGATGCAGTTTGTTAGTAATAATTCACAAATCAATAAGCGAAGCCAATTACCAGCCATGCAACAAATTATGGTGAGTTTTGAGTATTAAATAAGTACTATATCCGCGAATTCTCAAAGAATATTTCTCTAACGCATTAGTTTTTTCATAAATAATTTCTAGATTTCCATCATGTTCTGCCTTATCTTGGGAAGCACAGTAGCAGAAGAAGATGGCAAACAAAAAGACGATGTTAAAGTCCTGTTAGTCGACGAAAATGACAAAGTTATGCAATCACAATCAGACGATGAGAAACGAGAAACCTACTACAGAGATAGTCACGAATCCTCAGACGAAGAATACGTAATTGAAGAAGATCCAACCAAAAAAATCGACGTTGATATCAAAATCAATGGCGACATCGGTGGGCTGTACAATCATAATGCGAAAAAATATAAGGTTAAAGTGAGGGTGAATCAAGAAGAACCAAGATTTTATGAAGAAGAAGAAAAAAGGGAGGGTATTTTGGTTAGGTTGGTGAAAGGAGCAATTAGATATACTGGATTATATTAGATATAAATTTGTTACTGTAATAGGTTAAAATAAAAAAATATAACACTCTATATACCGACCTATATCTATTTATTTTGGACAATTAATTCTCAATGGGCGGTCCAAAAACTTGGCATTACATTTTTGCTACTAAAGCATCAAAGAGAATGATTATAAAACCCATTGTCGCAAAATCCTTAGATCTTCTGCGGTTTTCACTTTGAAGACCATTTATCTCTTTTCGACATGGTACCTCTTATCTATACCTTTTAGAGTTACATATTTGCTAATGGCCAGTTTTGTTTATTGGTTTTATCATTAAAGTTTTCAATTTTTTCGAAATTTCCGTTTTTTAAAGTTTAATAATGAAATTTAATCCTGTCGAAATGCTCTATTCTATAATATAAAGTGTAGGAAGCTCTTCAGGGGTGGCAAGGTGCGAGGGGTGCGAGGGCGTTCAGTTATGCATCCACCTTGATGACGCCAAGATTCACGAAAACGATCTCCAAGAATTTTTGAGGATTACAGGTAGTACTATTCGTAGTGAAAAAATAGAGCCTGTAGGGCCGGGTAGTACCACGCCTTGTTGCCAGGTTGAGTCAAATTGAAAAAGAAAAGACTTTTTCACTATAGGCGTCAAAAGTGTTATCTTCTAAGGATGTTGTTTAGGTTTGGTAAGGTTCTTCGACCAAATCGTATGTGTAGAGAACAGCCAATACAACAAGAAATTTTTGCTGTCCATAATCTATGTTCTGAGTAATTTCACATGCACCCTCTTCAATTATTAGATCCAAACTCCATCTATAAAACTGATCAAAGCCGATATATTTCCGATTGGTCGGGTATTTAGAGCAATAGTCAAATAAATATGCCATGGACAGTTTTGTTAATGCCAGAACTGCTGTAAATATTCAATTTGAAATAAAATTATTTATTAATTATTGTATTTTTAACACTCGAGGTTTAAAGATTGAATATCTTTTGAATATGTCTTTTGAGCACCAAAATGTGACAACACTGTGTGCGTTTGAAGCTTTTCAAGTTTACAGTGGTGGAATTTCGGCATAGTCAAGCTTGTTTTGATGATTTCGAGCTTTAGCTTGCTTCTGGTAGCAAAAATGTTTGGATATGCACTAATAAAATTTGAAAAAAAAAATGGTTCAAGATTTTAGTTTAATTTTCATTCAAGACCCCGAAAAATATTTAATCAATGAATCACTCTGGGCTTTTGGTTTCTACCGCAATATAATTTAATTCATACCTTCAGGTTCATGGTCTTTTATTTTTAATTCAACCAGTCACTATGGCATAGTACCATGGTGTCCGGAAGTAATCGAGTGTAATACTTATTTGAATCATCTGCATTCCGATCTGTGATATCACTTGTGTGGGAAAACTGTTTCTATAAATTTATTCACATTACTCAGAAAATATAATTAATTTTGACTTTAAAGTGGAATATTTATTATGATTAATGACAAAAAAAAAACTGAATTGCAGGATTTTCTCGACATACATGAATTTAAATCGCCAACTTTATTTGAAAAGAAGAATCTCATTATTATCATTTATTCTTAACGAATTTGTTGTACTTATAAAATTCTCAATTTGGACAATAAACTGAATTTTCAATTATCAATGAATCACGTCATGTCCTCAACTTTCAGTGAATTTTCTCTAACGTTTGCACATCGCGAAACACATCAGTAGCATATTTTCAATGTTATCAATTCCATAAACAAAAGTTTCACCGATTTAAATCGAGACTGTTTGGCGGCAATATTATATTACTATTATCATTGTTCTTACTTTGCTAGCCTTGTTCGTGCAATACGGAGAGTTCCAGAGTACCTTAGTAGGTACCACTCGATTTTCGACTTCTTCAAGTTCTATAATTTATTCTTCTTTCCTATTTGTTTAATAATTATAATTTATCAGAAATGTTGCTCTATTGCCTCTATTTTGTTTGCTGTTCAACCATTTCCTCATTTTGCAAGTCGAAGCTTTTTTGAAAAACATTTTTTTTTGCTATTTAAAGCTATGAGGATATGAATATGTTTTTATACAAAGTAACTTTGGTCTACCAAACATAATCTAAAATAAATTGAACAAAATAATAATTTCTAGAAAACAAGTCCTCCTTTATTTATACGCATTTTTAGAAAACTGTTGCGCCTATGAATTTTAAAATTTCATTCTACAAGCGCCAGTAGGGCGAGTGAGAGAGACGACCTGTTGATCTATAAAATTCCATTTTTTATTTCCACCTTGATGGTAGGCACCTTATTACGGGGTGCATCACTAGGTTTTAACATTCCATTGGCTGGTTTTAATGAATGGGTTGAATTCGGGGAAAGAGGAACGATGTAAATAAACAATAAACCGAGAGTTAATTCTTAATTTTTGTAGAATAATGAAAATCATTAAGAGTAGATTCAGTTAACTGATAGATTGCACATGCATTATAAGGCCCCAGAATGAATAAGCTCAAATAAACCCAATGAAAATATATTTCGCAATAAATTCCTAAAACAAACACCATAAGTTTCGTGTTTACTCAAACAACAAAAAGCTAAAATCCCAGAGAAGAAGCTTCTTTTTCAACAAAAGCTCATGCAGCGTGAAAAATTTCAAATTGCTTTCTCTCTCTATCTCTGTCCAAGACTATTGTCACCCATAGTGGTGTGCTACTCTAACGCAAGTGTTCGAATCTCTGAAAACTACAGTTTAGTTGCCAACCCCCGAAGAGCACATCTTCGATTCAAGGTCGAAGCTTTAGAGGGATGAAGGTACTATCCGATGTGAAAAATTTGAGCTTTGAAGCATTTAGAAAGTACCATGGGTGGGTACCATCTCTGGGTGATGGATATTTATGGTACCCTGTCCCATAGCTTTGCAATCAATTTGGTGTCTTTAATAAAATCAAGGCACTTTATTTTAGTTATTTTAATTTTGTGCACTGGGATTATTTGAATTTGGCTAATTATAAATACATATTACGTTTTTGGTAATTTTCATTAGGTTCTACGCCTCTGATGGCACATATGACAATGGGCTTTGGGTCGAAACGAAATTTTAGAGAAGCTAGGGCTGATGGATTTATTGGTTTTTGGTTTGGTACCGATTTGGCCAATTTGAAATTGAATTTTAATGTTAGGAAGGAGGTTGGCCTCTGATCAATTATCATTTACGCTATGTTGATTTTTACTGGGAATTGTTAAAAAAATCCTTGCTGCATGCATGAAATTTCTGCAAATCAAAGAATATTTATTCAACTTTTTCAAAGAATGCATTTTATTTTACGCAGGTTGAACACTATAGATTTTTTCTGGTATATATTGGACAAGAAATTTGAGTTAAGCATCAGTTAGCTACTCCGGCTACCAGAGAATATCATCAGTTGCAATCTACCTATTAAAACACCAGTGATTCAAATACAAAATGAACAAGTTAGTGGTAAGTAGTTCACTTTTATTTTTAAAATACGTAATAAAGTAGTTGTAAATTATCAAACTATAGATCATCTGTTTCCTGGCTATTATTGCTACTGCTGCAGCTGGAGACGATGAATACGACAGCTACGACTACAAAAACTCGAGAAAAGTAGTTGTTGTTGAAAATGAACCCAGATACCAAGTCATCAGACGTGAACCAGAGTACAAGAAAACCATCTACAAATACAGGGAACCTGAAGACCGACAAGTGGTCGTCAAAGTTATTAAGCCAAGTGAATCAAGGTATATACCATCTTATGATTCAAAGAAAGACGTTGTTGTTAAAGTCTTGAATAGGAAACACTTATAGATTTTTTGATTGTATTTATGGCAACCCCTTATTTGAATAAAGTTTATGCAAAATATGTGTCACTTTGTTTCTACGACAATCAAAAAAAAAACCAAACAGGATTGCCCAATTGTATCGACGACCAGATGAAAATATTAGTCAATTAGTCAATTGTTTGGATTATCTTGAAAATACGCTCGTCACCTTTACTATTTAACTGCATTACTTTAAGTAGGTAGGTACTTAGAGTCGGTATAATGTAGATTCGGGGCTGCCCAAAAGGGCCCCTTCAATGATGACTCCCCGACGAGTACAGCCCAAAAAGGCCACAATTAAAATTTGGGTAACAAATTCATAGCCTAAAAGGGCCACCTGAAAGTGCATAGGTAGGTAGGTAGATACCTGTTCAATTCATTTGCCTAATTTCAAAGGTGTTGAAAAAAAAAAAAACTATAATTTACAGAAAATATATTTTCTTCCAACACGCCTTTGTCACACAACAAGGGCGTTATAAAAGTTTGAATTTGAATTTGATGTCAAAATCACTTAATCAAATCCAATAAAAAGTCAAGGGATATAAAAAACATGCTATTAGCTACAATTACGTGATGTCGGGAGAAAAATAAAGTGTTAACGTTGCCAGTAAAGTGATTTTTCCAGGCTAGAAGAAGAAATTACGGGCAAGCCTCAGCGACCCCGCACACTTCTTGAAGGATGGAAAAATGTCACTTTACCGCCTAGGTCTATAATATACTATTACTTACACCGATTTGGCCAATTTGAAATTGAATTTTTTTTTAATGTTAGGGAGGAGGTTGGCATCTGATCAATTTCCATTTAGACCGTCAGATAGTGACAGATTCAGGTGCCCCATTTTCGCATACAAGCCTCGAAGACGGTTGAAAAGTACTTCGATGTTGAGAAGAATGAAGTGAAATTCACGAGTCGCCCCTGGGGATAAAATATGGAAAATTCGATTTTCCTTATCCGAAATAAAAGATGTCTGTTGCCTATATTTCCATGCAAGCCGTGTTCACTAAATGATTATTTATTAAAAACCTAGCTTCAGAAAACCAAAGGCTTGAGTGCTGCAGGTGGCTAAAGGGTTGAAAAAAGGGCTTTATCTTGTAAGAAAAAATCGAAATTTCGACCGATTTTTGCACACAAGCCTATTGGAGGTATAAAAACGTCCACCGTCACTACCCCGAAAAACATATTAACTTAAGTAGTGGAATTGGATAAATACATTCTGAGGTCGGAAAATTTAACAGATTTTTTTTTTCGATTTTTCAGTCATTTTTCCATGCAAGCCTTTGAAACTATAGAATGTTATTGATATGTTAGATTTTATAATAAATTTGGCATGACTATCGGATGTGGACGGAACGAAGGCTTGCGGCGGAAAGTGGCAGAAAAATTGTATGCCAATTTCCACCATTTTC